ACAATTTGAGCTTACTATTTGGGGTATGTATGGGAACCACTTGCTCGTTACCGACTATTACCTGTTCTGCACCATGGTACATAATGAATGGTTGGAATTGGATGATATCATATGTGAAATGAGTCGTAACACCTATGTTTAGTATCCATTCGTTAGGAGTAGTCATGAGTGCTTGAGTTGAAAATGTTGGCATATATTCAAGGTTGGTTATATGCCAACAATTGAAAGTTGAGTGTCCTGATTTGTGACAAATTTGACCAGTTGTATTTTATTGGTTGGATGATCTTCCAACTCTTGGTACAACAAGATGGCTTTCTCTTTGGTTCGAATGTCAGTTTCTTCCTCTTCCTCAAGAGCAGTAGTTGCTGCATCCTTTAGATGTCGTGAGAGCCATTGGAGTTTCAGTGGGGGTGGTGTGCTTAGCATTCTCATTGTTGTTGTTAATCTCTTCACCACATAGTAGAGAGCAAAGATCGTCAAGAGCGATGGGTTGAAGGGAGGTTCAAATGACAATTTTGAAGGCATTGTATTATGAGGTAGACCGTTGAGAATGTAAAGGATGACATCTTCATGATCCATCTATGATCTTATTGCCGTTATGTGATTGACCAAAGTCCCGATTTCTGTCAAGTACTATGCCATTGTATGATCCTTCATGGATATATGATGCAACCCATTTTTAAGTTATATCACCCTAGATCTATTGGTGGGTTGTAATATGTGTTCTAAAGTTGCCTTGACATAAACTTAAGGATATAATTCTCTCTTAACTATATATATAATATAATTCTCTCTTAACTAATTCTCTCTTAACTATATATATATATATATTCTCTTAAAGTAATTAAATCTGTGATTTAAATTCATGATCCTAAAGATTTAATTATCTTCTGCAGAAGACTATTGGTCATTTTATTTTTTTTAATGTTAATGGCATTGATATCATAAATTAGATAGTTTTGGTATTAATAGAATATTAAATAAAATCTTAAATATAATTTTCACGAAATTTTTTCTTAAAATTAGGGAAAAAAATCATCTCCCCTCCGTGCCAGTAAAGTGGAAAAATTATTCCATACGAGAATGCAGTGTCCGATCTACACAGTTGATCACAACATTAAAAAAAAAAAATTAAATGAGTCCCACCAAAATATATCTTCGCTTCACTGTGATCAATAATGTAGATCGAACATCACATAGGAAGGATGGAATAATTTTTTGAGCAAAGTGAGGGGCTGATCTCCTTAGCCCACTCCCTTCACATCAGCCACATCAGCAGAATACCGACAAATTCTGTCAAATCAATACCTAACTCCCATTAAATTCTTCCACGAAATGCCCGTAAAAAAAATAAAATTACATACATATCATATAAATTCATATGTATTTACAGATCTAACCTGAGTGTAAAAATTAAAATTTAAGTATGAAATATGAAAAAAATATTTATCGAGTGGATGTTTTTAGGGGCATTTCCATACATACCGCCCAAGTTTTATGTATTTATATATCTAATATCTCAGGTATAGGTTGGTTGGCATATTCGTTAAAATTAAAATTTAGGTGTTTTATATGTAAATACATGAAAATTGAGTGGTTTCAACTTATATATGTAAATGCCCATAAAATTATAAGATATTGATATTTTTTTGTGTGATATAAAATACTTGAGTGGTATAAATTATGTAAGTAAAATTTAGGTATTATACATATAAGTATATGTGAGTTGTGTGGTATGAATGTAAATGCCTCTACATAGGGGTGCAAATGAGTCGGGTCTAGCTCAAAACCGTGCCAAGCTTGAGCTTCACTTGTTTGGCAAATTGCGAGCTCGAGTTCGAGTTGAGCTTGAATGGCGAGCTCGAGCTCAGCTCGTATTGGTTGGTGGCAGTCGGCTCATGAGCTCGAGCCGAAATCTCAGTTTTCATGGGAGCTCACCAGAGAAGGAATTGGTGGTGGGAGAAGGAGGAGGCAACAAAAGGTCATCGGAAATTGTATCGAAATGACTAATGATAGCCTAGTCGAATTGGCTCACAAGCCAACAAGCCGAGCCGAGACGAGCTCGATCTTGAGCTTATTTAATAAATGAGCTCAAGCATGAGCTTGAGCTCGTGACTCGATAAACTTGACTCGTGAGCTCGTTGAAGAGCCGTGCTCAAGCCAACTCCAGTCATTTGCACCCTGCCTCAACATATCACACATATATCTAATATTAAAGATGAGTTGTTATTTTTGGAAATTTAATAATATTGATATTGTTGATAACAATATCACATCAGACGATTGAAATGCTACAAAGATCATTATGCACTATACAAAGATAACAAGTCAATATATCTTCAAATAGTATTTGCATCATCTCCTCAAATTATGGCACTTCTACTAATTTCTAGGTGACAATCTCCTCTCAAAATCACATCAGTAGCATAGGAAAGAAGATCTGGGTCACCTCTGGGTCGGGACGTGGATGTCTTTCTTCATCTTAGCAACGTTAAAGAAAATCCTGAGGGTCATGTTGGGCGGGGTCGGGATAATTTTTGGGACGACACTCTCTTGCTTCTCAACGAGAGGAGCATGAAAAAAAATCCTAGAGGTCCTGCTAGACAATATCAGTGATAACTTTCGAGATGAATTTCTTTTGCTTCTCCACGGAAGAACATTCCAAAAGAAGATCTCTGATGTCCTACTGGGTAGGGTCAAGACTTTTTTTTTTCTGAAAAATCTCAGATCACCTACTCAGCAGGGTTGGAGACTCTACCTCTAGCCCCATCTCTTTTGTCTATTTATAGACTAAAAAATTTCTCATATTAATGACAAAATTAATTAAAATAATAAAAATAAAAAAAATAAAATTACATTAATTATCTTGTCCTCACAGCCTTCATCTTTTGGCATTCGATCTTCCGCATTCTAAATTCATAAAAAAAAAATAAAAATTCTCCTGTTTCCACTTTCTATACCTCTTACCTCTTCCACCTTAAAAAAAAAAAAACTTCTAAATGGGCGAAAACTCTCCTATTTCACGTATATTCATGTGAAGAGAAATTATTGTATCATGACATCTGATGCAAATTTACAACAGGTGTCCAATAACAGGGAGCCACATGACAATTTGAGCCCACTGACATACATTGTTCGGCCCGGGTTGCCACATGACACCCTATCATTGGACACCTGATGCAAATTTACATAAGTGTCCTAATACATCTCATGCTTACACCTTATTAATACCTTATGACAATTAATTGAAATCAAAGCCTTATGTTTAAAAAATAATGTATTGAGAAAGAGTCACAAGTCCCATTGCATACAAATCTGACGCCAAACATTAATGATTGTGCGTGTCTCTCTGTGTTTTATTATATTTATCTCTCTTTCTATAAGAGTGCTCAAAATATTGATATTTTAGGACTATTAAATTATTTTTGCTTGAAAATAGAAAGACAACTGGTGCGTCATCAATAAATTTACTTTATCCGACACAAATATCAAGACATATTATGCATATCAAGATAACTTTTTGAGTAATAAATATTCAAATTTCAATTAATAGACATTATGAGCTCCAATTTCAGCAATCTCATTGTCAAACTAACCAACTAGACGAGACGAACCTAATAATACCAAAATGAATTCAATCCGAACTAAATCAAACCTCGATCAAGTCATTAAATGCTTTTTGAGGCTTTATGTGCATATTTTAAAGGTGAAACGAATGCATGAACTTATGGTTAGATCGAGTCTCGACAAGACGAATCAAAAGAGCCTAAATCGCTCAATTACGATATCATTAAGACACTCAAATGTTCATCGAACACCATCTGATTAAGAAAACATCTCTGAGGTGTATGATTAGAATGATTCATATTTCTTCCTTAATTGCAATCGAGATTTTATGAATAAAGTCCCACCCCTCTCATGAAGGGGAGGGAGCTTAATGCCTTAAAAAGATTTAAGTTTAGAGAAGAATTGAAGTCCAGCGTCACCCATCCCCGACCACCACTCATCGGCTGTTGCCGCCCTCTTCTCACAATAAGTTCATCCGCGCACCAACTTTGTATTTCAAAAGATTTTATAATCATTTCGTACTTTTGGGACAAATGATTGTATTTCTAATATCTAGTTATAGTGAATTTCTTCAACTGAGTCAAATCCCGCAGCTCTTCTCATTTACTGGTTTTCTACGTAAAAATTTTTGGTGCTCTATTGATTGATTTGAGTGTGTGTTAAATACTCATCCAACACTAAGACGATAATTTGTTACTTTACCGTGATGAATCTTCTTGCACACATCAATTATAAATAGATATCAAAATTTATATTTTAGATATATATTACACCTAAGTATTATGTTGTGCGTAGCTGTGTAAATGAATCAATTTGAGTTCGAGTTCGAGCTCGAGTCACATACAGTCGGAGCTGCAGCTTCATTAATTAATTAAATTTGTGCTCGAGCTTAATTCTTAGTTCATCTAGCTCAATTCATGAGGACCGAGCCCAAGTTGACTCACGAGTCATCTTGGCTTAATTACACCCCTAATTGTGAAAAAAATAATACATATTGAGTTTGGATGTATAAGAACATAGTGTACAATAATATTTGTACACAAATATGCATAAAATGTATACATATTATACATCAAATCCGAAAATAATTAAAATCTATTTGGGGCAGCTTATTTGGTGCGATGACGTTTTGAAAACGCACCTGACCTGTTTGGGTAAACTGTATTTTGACAGCTTATGCATTTTCAAAATGGTGAAAATAATATTTTCGCACCGCATCTATCTAGATCCGGTGGTAGTTTTCTAACTGCGGGTCTGTGGTCCGGCTTTTCCAAAAAAAAAAAAAATAAAATAACCATCACACTTAGCTTATCAACCGATTATTTTTAATTGTGGAGGATTTAGGCTCCCAATATAATATTCAGTACTAACTCTGCGTAAGTAAATGTCTCAAAAAATATCCCAAATTACTTGTCCCAAATCATCATCTCCAATAAATCTGTAAGCGCACTCTATTTTCTTTTATGAAATTGCCAAATATTACAATCATAGGCAAGACAAGCTCCAACGAACAGTAACAATTACATAGTAAAATCAGCACGGTTCACTTCCATGTTTCAAATCCTCAATAACTTGACTGGAACGGCCGGAAAACCTTGAGATCCGACACAACGCCGGCGATTGAGCCAACAGCAGCGGCGATAGAAATCACAAGGCAAGAAATACTCAGAATCTGAAGACAAATCCACTTCAAGCTCCACTTACCCACCTTCTTCTGAACTATATACATCTCTATCGGAAAGTAGACCGTTAGAGGCCAGAAGCCCAGAGCCCCAAGGAGGCCAACAATGTCGTTGAAGAAAGGGAGAAGCATGGAGATGGTGGTGGTGATGACAACAAAAACCGTGCGCCACACCAAGCGGAAAAGATTGATGGTATATGATTTAGAGGAGACAGGGAGCTTAATTCTGATCTCTTTAGAGACGAACTTGTTGTCCGGCCATGTCTGGCTCGCCCACTTCTCAAAGAAGGCGAAAAGAGGCTGGCAGTATACTTGGTATGCGCCGATAAGGTGAATAACAATGGCGGCGTTAGCGATGTCGAGAAGCCAGAAGGGATTGTAGAAGCCGAAGCCGGTGAGGAGGTTTCCGGGGGCTTCGTCCCCGAAGGCCGCGTAGCCCATGCAGCCGCAGAGGATGTAGAAGAAGGTCGTGACCGCCACGCTTAAAAGTGTCGCCTTTTTCATCACCCGTGCTTCGGAGGGAGGTGGGGATTTGATTGTGTCCTGAAGAAGAGAAAGGTGTTAATGATAAATGCTGATTTAAATAGATTTTTTTGACCGTTTGATTGGTATTCGAGAGCTTCATGCCTGGATTTCGATGAGGATTAAGGAGTAAGAGTAAGCGAATGCGATGTCGCCGAAAGCCTGCAGACTGCGCCAGACCTTTTTGGTTTCTGTGACGGCGCCGCCGATTCTGATTCCGGTGAGACTTCCGCTGATGCCACCGTTAGCTGTTGGAGAGCAGAAATAGGAATTATAGAATAAGTTTGTTAAAGAAACCAGTTCTGGAAGAAGATATGGGAAATGGATGTGTAGATTACCGACAACTTGAACAATTCCGAGAGCGAGGCCGATGGAGGAATAGGTGAAGGACATCACGGCGGCGACAATGGAAAGCCACCAAATTTGGTCGAAATCAGGGATTTGTGAGAAAATAATCTCTACGACGCCGAAGATGATCATGTAAGGAGTGCTTGAGATATGGCAGGGGTTGTTGTGCCCTTTCTCATGAAAACAATTGGATCTCCGGATGGCTCTGTTTATGAAAAAAAACCAGTTTTTTTTTTTTATTATTATTATTCTGTATTTTTATCTCAGGGAAAGAAATAGAGAAGACGTTTACGTACGTCATGCTAATGGAGGAAGCAATGGTGTAACCAATGGCGACACCGAATAGATTTGCATACTGAATGAAGCCACAGAGTTTAACCTTCGCTCCACCTGAGAGACAAGCAGGCATATTTTAATCAAAGCTTAAAACATTGGGAGTAAAGATTTGATTTTGGGTAGGGAGAGAAAGAACTGACCAAGGTAGGAGGTGACGGCGTCTGTGTAAGTGTAATTACGCTTGCCGTAGACGGGATCACCGGTGCGGTAGCAGTCGGAAAGCAGAGAAGATGTGTAGTATATAATGAAGGCGAATAGAACCATGACGACAGGACCAGCAACCCAGCCGAGCTGGGCAATAGCCCAAGCCAATGAGAGCACGCCGGAGCCTATCACCGCTGTGATTATGTGAGCACTCGCCGTCCACATATTCCCTGTAAATAAATAAATATCAACACAGAGTTCCATGGCTTTTGTCGTACAAAAGGAGGAAGAGTTAGTTCTTCCTGTTCTGTACCAGTTCTCTTCATCCTGCCATCGTCGTCAAAGCTTTCTAGCCTTTCTAGCGCATGCTGCCGGCCGAGCTCTATCGAGACATCTTGTGGATAGAACTTAGCTCCGCCCATCTCCCCAATCTAATGAAAGAGAACGAAACAGAGAAAACAAAAGCAGAGTGAGATGGTCTTCAAAGTAGAGAAGCAGAGAAGAGGTGGTACGAGGAAGAAAGGTGCTTGGTGGGGACTATATATAGAGTGAGAAAATCTCGACTCCAAGTGAGGAGAAGCCGCGTCTTGTCCTCCGCTCATCGTTCAAATCCTACCTCTGATCTCATGGTCCCATTGGCAGATCAATGAAACTCTGCCAATTCAGTCTTTGGTTTCTGTTCCTCTGTACCCACCACTCAGAGAGCACTAGAATGGCGTGATTTTTGCCGGAAAGAGAAGAAGTTGGCGGAAAGAGACCATTACCGTGTGGTGGGTAAGTGATTAAAATATTTAATTAGGATCATGAGGAAATATTTTACAGGTTTTTACCTTCTGCATTTCTTCGGAGGTTCGTGGAGAATTCACCGAACAGGGGAGGAGATGGGCTGAATATAGTAGAGGAGAAATGTCTTGTCTTGGAATGGGGAGAGTTATGCGTTGGAGCGACATATATAGATGTTACCTGTGGCATGCTATAATAAAAAATATCTAAGAAAGTGAGAAGCTTGGGTTCTTTATTGATGAGATGGAATAAGATTCTTCTCGGAATGCAACTTTAATATCGGCTGTTATGGTGAGCTAATCTTTTGCTGCAATGTATAGGGTTGTTTGATCTGCGTAAAAATGTGTTTTTGCAGCTATTAAAAAGATCAAAAATATACACATATACCACATAATCACCTTCATAGCCTTCATTGCAACTAGACCATCTCAGTTATTACTATAATCATTTAACTTCGCTTCTCTTGCTAAATGTCATCAAGGAGGAGTAAGAACATCGTGAAAACTCTTCGTAGATTGAAGACTTCTTACAAGTGTATCGGGTGAATCACTAATCCCTATTTGCACCTTCAATAACCAAATAGAGAGTATAATCAAACAACAACAATAACAAACGTACATCCTATTAAGTGGGGTCGGTTACATGAATTTTTTTTCTACATTGTGTCCTATTGAGAGTCAAATTTTCATTTTAATCCTAATAAATAAATATCATTGTCTACCTCTACCTTTCTTAACATAAGTTGAATCAAAAGCATCTACTCTTCTAAAAAAAATGATCAGATGGTCGACGTTTAATGAGACTAAATCATCTTAGAAGATTCTCTCTAATTTTGTCTATCATTGAAGGTACACCAACCATTTCAGAATTACATTTGTTTCACATTTTATCTCTATGTTTTAAGCCACTAATCCACCTAAACATTCTTGCCTCAATAGCACTAACTTATTTTAATCAAAACAAATAAATCCAATTAACTCTGCTTTCAGGAATTCCAGATAAAATGCCTTTTTATGCCTATATGCCAGGCAATGCAATACTCTTGAGAAAAAAATAAAATAAACCGCAAAACACTTAAAAATCAAGCAAAAAAGTACAGTGGAAACAAATAAATCCAAACAAAATTTGCTTTCTACTATAGAAAATTCTAAAAAAAAAATGACTTTCATATGCATATAGCACCAGATTCCTGTGAATTCACATCATCATATGTTAACTATGAAATCATGACATTTTAACGTAAGAATTTGAACTGAAATTTATAGTTTTAGAGTTGAAGCTAGTTTAAACTTCTATCATGAATATTGAGATCTCATCAAATTATTATATACTTGTTGTGAAATTGAAGCAGAATAAAACAGGAATCGACACAAACTAGAAGAAGAACACAGAGATTTAACGAGGTTCGACAAAGAATAAGCGAGCGGCGGTTTCACTATTTCAGAGGAGTTACAATACATCACATAGGGTTACACATATATATAGACATATGCAAACCCTCAGATAAAATTACAATCACGCCCTCGCTCCTCTCAACCCCTTTTATTCCAAGAGACACTCATTTTCACCAGGAGACACACATCTTCACCAAGAAACTCCAACTCCCTAGATATGAGCCATACATAACAATTCTCCACCTTGGCGAATATCCAACACCTTAAGAGATATGCATCACCCGGTATATGTGTCTACCAAACAAATCTCCACCTTAGTGAATATTCAGCCCCTTTAGAAGAAAATCTCCACCTTGAGAATATCCAATCCTTTAGAAGAAAAAATCTCCACATTGTAAATATCCTGCCACGAGAAATATCTCATGGAGTTTCTTATACCAAAGTGGGTTGTCCAACCAAACCATCTAACCTGGATTGGTCAAAGTTCCTATTGCATTTTCACCATATGATTCAACAGAGCGATCTCCACCTGCAACTGTACTCCCTATCAGTTTATAGATGTTACCTATAGTGATCTTCCCTTTCATCACAGTCAGTGCGCTCTTCACAATTCTGATGGTTTCCATATCCTCATCTGCCTTAGGAATGAAACCATTTCTGTGTAGAGTGCCTAAGGAAATGAAATTCTTCTTCAACTCTGGAACATGTCTGACATCACATAATGTTCTAACAGTATCATCATACATCTTAATTCTGACTTTACCAATACCAACAATATTGTAACGTCTATTATCACCCAAATAGACTGAACCAGAATCAGATAACCTGTATGAAGTAAACCACTCCATGTTAGGTGTTATGTGATAAGAACATCCTGAATCAATAATCCATCCATCCTTTAACTGAGTTGTTGAAACTGAAAGCGCATCACCATCATTATAATCTATAATGTCACTCTGCACCATATTCACAGCCCTGGAAGATACATCACGAGTCTTCTTCTTGAGCATTGGACAATCTCTCTTCACATGTCCCTGTTCCTTGCACTTAAAGCAACGAATCTTCTTGCCTTTAGGCTTTGACCTGGAACTTTGCCTTCCAGAATTCTGCTTCTCCTCCTTACTTTCACGATCCTGATTACACTTAGCATATAAACAATTACCATGAGAGCTCTCCTCTGCATTCTGCTTCCGCTGGTTGTGAGCCAACAATGCTGCAGTAATCTCATCAATTTTAATTGTTTCTTTCTCATATGTAAGAGTAGTCACCAGATTTTCATAAGAAGTAGACAATGAACACAAAAGAATCATTGCTCGGTCTTTATCCTCAATATTCACATCAAGCCGTGCCAGATCCGTGATTATTTGATTGAAGACATTCAAGTGCTGAACCAAATCAGTGTCTGCCTGCATCTTCAGCTCATACAACCTTTACATCAAATACAATTTATTCGTCAGAGATTTGGACATAAACTGAGATTCCAATTTCTTCTATACTTCTCCTGGAGATTTCAGATTCATAACATGATACATAATCTCATCTGTGAGATATAAACGTAAGATACCTGCCACTCAAAGTTGTAACTCTTCACAATCTTCATCTTCCATATTATCAGGTTTCGTAACCCACAAAGCCTTCAAAATTTCATGTTGTGTCAACAAATCTTTTACCCTTGTTTGCCACAATCTGAAGTTCCCGATTCCATCGAACTTCACTATCTTGAATTTTGCTCCAGACATTGCTATTTGAAATTTAATCGTGCACCATATTTTCTTGCCTTGCTTCGAAAAACAAAAGAAAATACTCCACAAATAAATTCAAAGAAACCTGAAATTTTCCTGTCAAATGCAGCAACTATCCCGCGATTCTCCTGTGATTCGTGAATCAAATTTTCCCACGAAGCACTTTTCCTATTCGTACCAGTACCTCGGCCAAGTGCTGTTTCTGCGAGCCACGAATCCCTTTGCACCTGTTCTTCGAATCCCTTTGCACCTGTTCGAGGAATACCTCCACGAAACTCCTATTCACGAAATAATCGTGCCTGCTCGCCTCCTGCACCCTGCCGAACTCCACTTGTCGCAAAATCTCCTACGACGAACTGACGAATTTAACTGGTCGAATTCCTCAGATTTTTCCGCAAAACAAGGCTCCTGTTCGCGGGGAACAGCCTCTATTTCCCACGGATTGTTGAACCTCCCGAACTCCTCTGCTTCCTGAAACTGCACGACGATTCACGAAACTGAACCTCGTGCCTCTTCGCCCTTCGCGACTCCCTGTATCGCGATCCTCGTCTGTCGCCTGCGGAACGGCTTCTCGCGCCCTCCGATTCAAGGCCTCGTGGAAGTTGCCAAGCCTGCAAGCCAACTTTCTTTGCTAGCGCGCGGAACCTCTGCAGACGCTGCGATTCGCAAATGGAAGCCTCTCCAAACCGCCTAAGATCGCTGCCTCGCTCTCTTGTAAGCCCTTCACGAACTCGCTCGGAACTGCGACAAAACTGCCGAAACTGTTCTTTCACGTCTGCGATTCCTCGGTCGAGATCCAAAGTTCACGAACTCCTCGGTCGCAATGCCCGCGATTCGCCTCTGCCAAAGAACCCTCTTGCGATGCTCCGACCCGAACTCCGGCGGGAACTCCTTCCGCCCGCAAGCGACGATTCGCGAGCTCCTGCCGCAAATCACCTCGGAATGCGGCAGGAACTGTTCTCTTCCGCAAACTGCCGAACTTCTCTAGCCGCGGGAACTCTTCTCGCGATCCTTCGCTCAACTGTTGAGCGAATCCTTCGTCTCAGGCCCGACGAATCGTTCTTCTCTTCCAAATCCTTCTTCTTGTGTCGATCTCCTCCTGTTTTCTCGAAAGAGTCTCTGATACCAATTGCTGTGAAATTGAAGCGAAATAAAACAGGAATCGACACAAACTAGAAGAAAAACACAAATATTTAATTAGGTTCGGCAAAGAATTGCCTACGTCCTCAGGAGCAGCGGCGGTTTCACTATTTCAGAGAATTTACAGGCGGGTTCAGTATTTCAGAGGAGTTACAATACCTCTCATAGGGTTACACATATATATAGACATATACAAACCTCAGATAAAATTACAATCACGCCCTCGCTCCTTCCAACCCCCTTTATTCCAAGAGACAATCCTTTTCACCAGGAGACACACCTCTTCACCAAGAAACTCCAACTCCCTAGATGTGAGCGATACCTAACAATTCTTACGTATATGCCCCTATATATCGTGGTGCATTTATATAGATTATTATATAATCCTTAAGTATTTACATATCTAACACCTACACATTTGCTACGCAAAATAATCAGAAGCGTAGAAATTCATAAAAAAATAAGCAAACACAAATGATTTACGTGCTTCGTCGTTAAATTGATTTGCCTACGTCCACGGGAGAGAGATTCCACTAGAATCTGATGGGAGAAAGAAAAACGACTTGGGGTTACAATTCAACACGTCTCACCATGCAACTCTCATAAACTCTTAAGTTCCTTTTATAGAGGAGGACTGAGACATACAAGTATATAAAACCAAAAGATAAAATTATCTCTGATTACAATAAAAGATAAAAAATACAACATTCTTCATCTAATCTCTTACTTTCAGATAAATGAGAGATGACCAAATAAGCTCCAAACTCCAATTCAAGTGCACCAAGATGGTTGCCCGTGTAACCCCTTCTCAAAGGGATCAACCCTCATGTAGTTATTCAAAATGCCTTTCTGTGCAATTAGTCATGAGTTCGGACCAATTAGTCATGAGTTAGTACCTTCGTGAGC